ATTTACTAGACTTGACAAGATGTTAAGAAAGTGAGTTCAATCACAAATTATCATGTTTTCCTAATTGACAAGTTGTGGCAGAGTAGGAAACTTTAACAAGATTAAATTTTCTGGCTTGAGTATTTGTTGTTATTTGATTTCCAAATGGGAGATGGCATATTTTATAAACATGCTTAACAACTGTACATGGCAATCTGCATAGAAGTGAATGCAAAAATTAAGTCGATGAAATTCTTGGAAGTTGTCACATTTGTGGAGAAATTGTTAGTGCACCTCATAGTTTGTCAAAAATACCAAAATACCGATACATGACTCACATTTTCTGTGTGAATGGGATGTACTGTAAAAATCAGTGCTGCAAGGAAGCTCGACTTTGGCGAAGTGAAAAGCTTAAAGCCTTCTCTTGAAACTGATATACCACCAAATATAACTGAAAAGACTCTAAGGGCCAATACACAGTTTATTGCATGCAGTGTGATGTTTACAATGTGAAAACCCAATGGATTGTATCCACCAGCCGCCCAGTAGCTAATTCTGAATGTCCAGACTGTGATAGGCCGGTAACTTTTATGACTCGAAGACGAAGTAATATTGTCGCCCCAGAAATCATGTTTGAATATGGAGAAAAATGATGTCTCTAGTCGTACATCACGATTGTTCAAAATAGCTTCATTATCATCAAAAACAAAGTCTCCATTTACACTCCACAGAAAGCAGAATACTGCAAAACTTGCAACAACAGCTGATGCAGTAGTTTGAGTCAGGTCAGGTACTGGAATGTTATTGCACTTCAACACAGTAACGTTTGAAGAGTATTTAAATTCAGAACCAACATCTTGAGTTGAGCTGCTTTTCTTTTTTACTCTCTGCATTATGTAGAACGTCTTTTCTCAACTAGATTGTGATACATATAGTACCTGCAGACGACATGCCTTAGCTCTCAGACGTATTTACACCTGGCTTCATCTTTCTGTTTCTTGGCCTGTAAACAACATAGACGAGCCACCTTAACAGATTGAAAATTTGCGGCACATGCGCAACAATCTAATGCGCATAATCTTGAAATCCTCAATACTTCATTGGAAATCCCTGATAAAAGAGGGCGGGATCGAAATAGACAGGGGGAGTTTAAAAAATTATGCAGAAAAACTTGGAGGATTGGGCTGAAAAAGTGGGGGTTGAAATTAGTGGGGACTGGCATAATCTTCGAGGGTAGAATACTGGAAAGCAAGGATAACAGGGTTATTATGTGTGAAAAAACCAGAAAGAACAAGTGGATCTAGGGCGCAAGAAATTCTCTTTTCCTTTCAAGCCAACTTTGCTTTTCCTCAGTCATATTCTTCAACGCTTTATTTGAGGAAGAACTGAACACTAATCTTGTACCTGCCTATGCTTTCTGGGAAACAAATAAAAGGTGGGGTAACTTCTATCTATCTATCTATTGCTTACTGTACATTAACCTTTAAATAGGTATTGCGTACAATGGGAATGTTCTTGATGGGAATTTTTCTGCAAAAAATTAGCATCCCAGAATTATTTTTAGAGATTTCAGAGCATAATGACAATTGCAACTTTTTCAGTTTCCCAGCTATAAGTTCTCCTCGTGCAAATTCTTGCGAAAAAAATGTACAGCTCAATTTCCTTACTTTTTTAATGAGAAGTACAAAATAAAATCCACTGTTTTGAATGAATTTAAATTTTTATATTCTACTGACTTTAAATATTCTAAACTCTTTCTGAGTCGCGTTAATATATTAATTCGGCCCCGACTTTGATCAGTTGCTTGAAAATCGTTAGGGAGTTTCTGCATACTATCGAAATGCCATGAGAAGTGAGACCTGGAAGAAAAAAGACCACGTTAATATAAGCCTTGACAGTAGATAAAAAATTCGTAAATACAGTGTGTAAATCTTGACAAGATTCTTGGATAAAAATACTTCATGCAATTCGTGGATAATCTTTATGAAATAATAAGAGAAGCCTGCAAGCTTGGATTAGATTCCGCAAATGAAACTGGTTTTTTGTTGGGAATTAAGATTGGGAAAGAAAACAAAGAGCCTAGCATATTTATAATTCTGACAAACCTGTTCTTGCGATGGACATCCGATGATTTGTTGGTCTTCCAAGCTGTAATTTTCTTGCACAAGTTGAGACAGCTGTTTGTACACTTTCAGGACTTTTGTCTGAAATGAAGAAAAAAATAAGATAGAAGCAAGATTGTTAATATAGCACTGTACTGATATATACAACGTTGAACTATGAAAAGTATAGCATAGGGAAGATCTGGGAAAGAAAGGAAAAAATAAGCATCCGAAAGGGTTAATAATCACCATTTGGTGTTTTAAGGAAGGATAGTTCATACAAACAGGAGAGGGCCACGATATCAGTCATTTTCTTTTGTTTATAGATAATTACGCAAAGTCATCTAAAAAAATTAGCGTTTTCCGGACAACTTACCTTAATGGGCTTGAATAAGATATACTCTGTTTCTTTGCTTGCCAAGTACAATGACATACTCTCCATCACCCCCGGCAGTTTCGACTTCAGCATCATGTAAGCCTCGCTGACCACTTTCCGCACGCTCTCTAGCGAAAGAAAAATCTAGTTTTAAGTTGACCGAGTTGGATATGAGCAATGACAATCTCTATGGTGATGACACAAACTACAAAAGTGCCATTCGACATGCGTAATTCCTGTTTGTTGGGAGCTGAAGTTATTTTGGAAAAGATTGTGGTCATGAGTCCATCCGATTATTTTAGGAGCCAATGCTGCAAAAACTCTTCAAGCTACAACTTTCTTTCTTTGCAATTAGGCAGCAAATACCGCATTTCTGCATTGCAAGTAGGCAGTAAATAACGCATTGCTATTCAAGGTCGTGTGTCCGTACAAGTAGTGTGATTTAAGGGGGCGTGGTTCGGTCTAAACCAATCACCATACAAGTAGCTTGAAATCCTGGCCCGATTCGCTCCTCCATGCTATAAAATGCTGCAAATTTGGCCCCCAGCTTGAAAATGTAATCCCTCCCTAACTTAGACCAACAGATAAATTAAAAGGAACGTAAGGGAAATTTTGAACGCAATTGGCGCGAAAACGACCCTACGTGAAAAGCGGCTTGCCTCGTCTTGGATCTCTGGTTTACTGATTGTTGAGAGTCTGATTGCTGAGAACGTTTTAACACCCCCACTCAACATCAATAAAAGGTCACTGAACATCACCACACAAATGTTGAATGATGTTCAGTGAAATGTTGAGAGCGTTTTAACGGGGCTTAATATGTTATTTGATAACCCATGTTTTTTAAGGTGTTTATTGTTACACTAAGCTCAGTTATTTGCCTTTCCTTGAAATCCGATAACATATTATCGTCCTCTTTTATGTATGATGATCCAAGATGATCCACGATGAAGATTTCTTCTGATTATTAATGATGATTCATAATAATTTATGATGATTTATGATGAAGGTTTAGTTCTGATTATTTATGATGATTTATGACGCTACCTGAAATTGACTATTATCACTACATACTAAGCAGCGATAACAAGAAAGCTAACCTGGTTTTGCAAATGGCTGCTGGTTAATAATTTGGTGCTTGTCCTTGCCTTCCTCTTCAGCCAGCTGTGTCAGTGTGTCCATTTTATCGAGCAGCGAGGTCAGGGGACTGACGAAATTATCAACAGCCGTGCCAATGAATTGTTCACACACATTTTTCAGTTCTGCATCCACTTCCTGCGAAATCAGTAGATTTAAAACAATATTGTGCGACATTTGCCATCACATGAAGGACAGAATTCTGTTGTGAAGATAAAATGAACAATTTCTTTGTATACAAAAGATTTTGGGAGAGATGATTAAAGCGACTTGTCTTTAATTCATCAAGGGAATATTTAAAAAGGTCTAAAACATCTAAAACTATATTGTTCTTTATGCGAATTGGGCCTACGGTTCCGTTTATAAGAGTATTACAACCCTACAACAGAAGGAACACGAAGAACAAACCATGATGAGGCACAGATGGGCAACTTTGTTTCAAGAAAGAGAAAATTAATTTTCCAAAATTTGTCTCACCTTTTTTGAGTCCAAACAGTATTCAGTTAACTGCGGAACGCCCTGGAAAATTAATCAAATAATAATGTTTTGAAAAGAGTAAAAATATGACTTTAGATAACTACTTGTCTTTGTGGTGGATAGTTTTCTAAACTTTTTTATCGTACAGTGCTACCAACTGTTTTACTCGGGTCATTTTGTGAAATAACCGATTACTCAAAGATATATTTATCTAACAAATTACCTCAAGAAGAAACTCCAGAATGGCGTTATTTGTACTCAAGCTAAGCAATCTGGTTCCTTTTGATAACAAACCAAAAGCAGCTGTTCTCATCTTTGAAAAATCCAATGCAACCTCTTTGACTGCGAAGTCGACATCAAATGGGGCAATCTGCTCTCTCAAAATCAGTAAATGTTTAATGAAGAACAAAGAACCGTTTATTGCACCCTGAGAAAAAGAAGATTTCGTTACGTTACGTAGATCTCGTTACGTTACGTTCAATACAACTACGGTGTCTCGCACAGAAAGACTTCACTAAAACACGGCGGTGTGAAAATTTATATTCAGCTGGAAAACGAATTTACAAAAACGAAAGCTAATAGCCACAACGATTATCTCGTCACTCAAATACGTACAAAACTAATTATAGTGACTTTGCAGTGGTTGGCAGTGTAACCACCATTTTTTACGGTCACTCGTGTAAAGCTACTTCATCAGACCGTACAGTCTCGCCAAGTTTTTCAGCAATTACGGAGGGGAGACATTAGAATGTTTGCGCCAACACAAACCTTTCGATCTGCAATTGTTTTGGAGGCACTCTTCAAAGTTGTTATGCAGATTGAAAGGGCTTCTTGGGCAAGTCCTTCAAACGTAGGTTTCTGAGTAAAAAACAAAATTTGTCACCAAAACAGCTAAAGATTTATAATCATTTTAGCGCTAAAAGATCATTTATCTGTCAATCTTCGGTTACCGCAAATCCATTACTGTCAGTAATTGTCAGCCTACAGGCTACAGCCAAAATGGGATTTCATAAAAAGTAGAATTTACTGACATAAATTTTAATGAAGATAGCTGCCTTCCTATTTCCCTTCAGCCAGGCAATCTTATCAATCAACAGCGAATCATTTTTCCATCAACGAACGATTTGCAGGGACCACAAAGCATATTACAGATTAGGGGGGGCTGAAAGCTTTTGGGTGGCAAAACACGCAGAAGGCCAAAAGCAAAATTACTTTTGAAGTGTTCTAAGTACAGTTTTTTAAATTATTGGAGAAGAGCTAAAGTCCCCAGTTTCCAGCTTCCGCAGTCCATTGATTTTACCGACAAGTTAAACCTGAAGGAAGGGGATGTGACTGGCCTACATGTCTCACCAAATACACCCTTGATGGCTGTTTCGAAGATAAATATCGCAATGGAACGATATCCCAAGCTGTTCTACCTTTAAAAAATTAATACACTTACTGAAATGCAATTGTAGAGTTTTGACAGGCAAACTAGAGTCCTGCGAACAGTAGGGTACCACATTGCTTGCTGGTCCACCATTGCAATTGTAGAATCTAGAATAAAGAGCACTCCCTATAAAATGGAAATGCCCAAAACAGGCATCGAGAGGAATGTTGTTAAGGTCAGGAAATTGCAAACTTTCCATACGTAGAAACAGGCAATAAGAGACAGACCAGATTTTGGGGAGCAATTTGGCTTACATACTAATACCCGGGGTTCCGGAGCGTTGCAAAGCCCCATTTCCCTATCCTTCACTTGACGGTCTAGAACCCTACTTTTTCCCTATCCTACTTTTTCGCTAAGTAAAAGACTAAAATCAGCTAAAATTTATTTATATAGATAAACCTTTAGATTATAAAGAATACATTGAACGAAAGCCTACAAGTAAAACAACGTAAGGAAAATGATTGCCACAATAGAGGCTACAGAGTGGGATAGAAAGCGTTCTTCACATTGCTGGCCACTCCAGTGACGCGGGCCCTGACCCATAGCGATGTGACGTAATGAGCCACGACAGCGCAGCGTCAGTTAACCGGGGACCAAATGTTGACAGGCTACCTAACGCCCTATCCGCGACAAAATGAAGTAAAAAGTAGGTGTTCATATACCAAAACATGTCTAATGCCAAAGAAACAAACTTTTGAGAATAAGTTTAGCATTCAAATAACAATACTGACAAGATTTATTCTCGGCTATATCTTCGACTTTTCCCATCAGATTGCTTGTCTGAAATTAAAAAGATAGTTAATCAATATCTTATAACGAAGGGAAAAAGTAGGTTGATGGCTAGACTATGAGTGATTTAAATAATGGAGTAAATCTGTACGGCAGGTGACTTAAGGGGATTGCTTCAAGATAAGACATTTTATATCTGTGGATTGCCTTTGATAATTCACCTATGGACCAGGAACATAACGATAGATGAGTCTTTGACCATAAAAATAAACAAAAAAGCAGCTACGATTGTTACATGAAGAACTGGGATTGATTTCAAAATAAAAGCAGCTACGACTGTTATGTGAAGAACTGAAATTGATTTCCAAATACCTCCATCATGAGCTTGTCCGGATATGCTAAGTCTCCTGATGCCGGTTTGTAGTTTCTAATGTCATTTTGCACGTAGGTCTGTGAAAGAAACTTTGTTTTAGTTTTTGGTACCGAAAAGATTGAAAAAAGCTCCGAAGAGCGGAAATATAGCATATAAAAGTATTTTTCATCCGACCCGACACTAGTCAGAGAAAAAACGTGGGATAATGACCAAAGAAGAAGAAAATTGATGTTCAAATGCGGATCGAAAGGAAGAATGGCGCGTTTGTTAAAATTACTTTAAAGCTCTCCCGTTATTTTCGGTGCAAATCTTGATGTAAATTTTCTGCTTCTTTGGACATCTTAAAATGACCAACAGTGAACCTTGCATGCAATTTTTCCGATATGAGCTGCAATACTTCGAAAGTACCTAGAATTGTTTACTTTTGAAAAAGGAATAAAGGAGTAGTTCTTTCTAATAACCACAGTTATAGGTGCTCATTTTTCTTACACTATAAAATATCGATACTCGGGAAAATATATCAATTAGAGTCAAATGTTATCAGTTATGATAGTCTTCCATATTGATTCGTGTGATTTGGACTGCGAATAACATATCAGATTTAAACGAGTAAAAATTACGCTACTTGCTTATATCTATGACATTCTTATCTGAAACTGACCTTTTACCTCATACTGACAGTTTTGTTTCAAAATGACCTTTCCCTTGATACTTCGAATTATGAAAGTAGATATGAGGGAAATAGCATAAAGAAAGTAGATTTGAGGAAAATGACTTTGAACCAAAACAAAACGAAGAATGCAAGACAAATGGGAGTTGTGGGCCTAGTCACCTGAGCCTTGTATACGAGCCTCTCTTGCACGTCTTCCAGCAGCTGCGAAACAATAACTTCAAATGCTGATAGCTGGTCCGCTGAAATTAGAATAATGGTCATTCAGTGAAGGCAAAATGACAGTAATAATTTTGTATCTGCTACAATTAAAAAAACCATTCAGAAAGCCGAAACTTAAAAGTACAATATTAGGATTATCGTATACATGTTGATACTCCTTCGTGCAGGCTTTTAAATAAAAAATGAATGAAATAAAAAGCTTTAAACTCAGCTAGTGAATGCTTGCTTTAAAAATGAACAAGAAAAAAATATTTCTAGTATTCAACAGGGCAGAAAAATGGTGCGTTGAAATGCAACACAAGTCATTCACAAGACATAAACAAATATTCTCTTTCTTTTTATTCAAAAATCTGCCTTGACAGAACTAAATAATTCTCTTCGTAAATTGATTGTCCAAGTTATGACATAAATTGCTATTCCTGCTCCTATTATCTGACAAAAAGCGTTCATGGTCAATATAAAAAAATGTCAAAACAGAGTCAGAAATTTAGTTACAATTTACACTTAACATATGCAATCACAAAGTTAATCCGTGCAGCCAGGAACGATATCATGTTGAGCAACATAAGCCTTCATTGGTAAAACACATTAATAAAATAAAAGATCAGATAATCACCTTTTCTTGCCACATGCTCTTCCAGCATTTCAACCTTCAAAATAGAAAAGCTTATACTTCAACCAATCATTCTATCTAAAGCACCTTGCCTTCTACATTTAATCTGTTATCGTCTGACCTGACTTTAGAATCTCTTTGTAAAAATGAATAAACAAGTAATATATGGTATACAGAAGGAAGAAAATGCTAATTGTGAGTACCTTCAATATGTTGCAGAGCTCAGCCAAAGTTTCCATATGTGTCATGTGAATGATCAAGGGTCGAAATGTTTCATAGAGTGCGTTGCAAAATCCTTCAAGCAAAAAACTGCAATGAAATTGGACGTTAATTTAGAATATAATGAATTTCATTTATCATTCAAACAGCAAACAAAATAGAAGAAAACTAGAAAGTCAAACAACTATTAAGTGAGACAACTGGTTCTGAAGAATATTAGTCAACAGAAACATTTATCCTTTATAAAAAAGCTGAAAGCGAAACAGCAATTCATATTTTGTGCTTTTAAACTGTCCATAGACAGGTTGGCAAAATATTCGGAGCAAATGAGTTCTGACCAGTCTTGCATAAAATGATTACCTTGAAACATTCTAAAAATATTAGACCATTTTGCATTATAAATAGAGCTATATATACTACATTAGCTTCAGTAAAAATAATATTACATTTTTTATATACTCTAAAGTATTGGGTTTACATTACAAAACAACTAAACAAAACAAAGACACAAAAGTGCATATAAACCTACGAGAAACGATCAGCAATCTTAACAGCTTTACTTACTCTAAACCTTCGCTTCTCTTCGTAAAAAATTCAAAATACAACTGGTGTTCATCTTGACAAACGTGAACAAGAAATGAGCAGCCAGACCTAAACTGTAAAGCAACATAAGTTTTAAATAGTACAGAGCACAAAATGTTCAAAAAGGTATCACCCACCCAAAAGCATCAGCTTCAATCAACAACAAAAACTTTACAGGACATCACGTCTGAATTACAAAGCAGAAATTATGAGGTTGTTAAGATGGAAAATCTCAATAACTCTCTAGAAATTATTTTTCTGTTTCCACGAGACATTGTGGGAATTGCCTTTAATAAGTTAAGGTCTTGTGGCTGAAAAATCAAGAATACACAAATGGGGTATTTTGGACAGTTTTTTTGCAGCGAATTGTGTTAAACATAGCACAGTGAAGATTCAAAGCATCGAACATAGCATCAAATGACAGTTCCCAATAATGGACACCTACAAGCCACCAATTTTAAATTTTCTATGCTGTGATAAAACTTTGTAGAAGGAACCTCACTACAAAGGACCCTTCCCTACAACGGTCACACCTCTACAACGAGCAACTCTTTACAAAGAATACTTTTCTACAAAAGAGACCTCCTTACAACGGACACTTTCTTACAATTTACACATCCCTACAATGGACATTTCCCTTCGATCGACACCATCCTTCGATCGACACCATTTTACAAGGTATACCTCCCTACAAAGGACACATCCCTGCAAAAGACACCTCCCTACAAAAGACACATCCCTACCATTGGCAGTTCCCTTCGACACGGACACTTCCCTTCGAAGGACATTTCCCTTCAATACATCTCCCTACAATGGACACATCCCTTCGATGGATAATTTCGTAAATGGACACCTCTCTACAATAGACAGTTTCCTTCGATGGATAATTCTCTTCGATGGACACTTCCCTTCGATGAACACCTTTCTACAATGTTCACCTCCCTACAATGGGCACTTCCCTTCGATGGACGCTTCCCAACAATGGACAACTAGTTTTCGTTAATATGGTCTACAATCGACAACTATAACATATATTCATTATATGGAAGTTTAATCGCACATTTCATTACGTTACGATATCATTTTTTCCGTAAACGATACGATTTAATTTCTCCGTATAAAGACAGTAAGATCTTATGTGAATAGGTCTCCTCACTAGAGTGCATTGATTCCGAGTATGTTGCTTGACCATTCTCTGTACGACACTTGAAATGTACGGCTGGAGCAGCTGGGCTCGGCATTCAAAATAAAGCTGCTGACAGTCCTTAACAAAGGAGTCATATCTAAAACAAAGAAATTAAACTTAAACACAATTAACCTGAACAACTACATTGATACAGATTATATCTTATATCATTTGTGTAGCATTTTCTAGCATATGATAAATTAGCTGTCTTCTCTGAAAAACTTTTCAATCTAACAAAGTAATTAAAAGGACCAAAGTTCAGTTTTATTTATAAAGGCACATACATTTTCACTTTACTTATCAACAGAGGCTTTGAAAATTAAACATCAACTTCAAAATCTGGAGACAAAAAACTCAGGTCCAATTCGTAAAAATTTTATCTTTAATCTCATTTTCAAACATATCTTGCGTTTTATTGCAACAAGTCTTGTCTAGTTAAAGCAAGCCGAATGCAAACTTGTGGTTGCACCCCTCTTTGAATCACGATAAAATCTTTTAAAAAAGGACGCTGTTAGAAAAAAGGTTCTAATTTTGTCAGTTATTAGCTAATGCATAACAATAAACATGCCCTTCTGTTCGTCCTCAAGTTAAACCCCCTTAAAAAACTTATTTATCGATGCCATCTACATGTAAACCACGTGACAATTATGAATACAGTAAAGATACGCACACGAGAAAGTACACTTTTCAGTAAAGTCTAAAGATGGGTTATTTTTTAGTGAGTATATTTAGGCATTATAGGCTAAACAGTGCATATCAAAGGATGAAGAAACTACACTTACTCTGCATGGGTCTGCTGTTTTTGCTCAACCTGTTCCATAATATTCTGAAAACAAAGACAGTATCATTATATGCACCAAACATATCTTGATTTTAATAAAACCTTCCTCAGACAATGTCAAGGCTCCATATCAGATGAATTTGCCAATGAAACGTCGATTGCAATTATGAATAATTGTGTTTAGTGGAAATTAAGATAAAAATCGACCGATACGTTTTTCGACATATCATATTATCATCTGTTACGTTTTCACACATATCGACCGTTACGTTTTTCGACATATCATCCGTTACGTTTTTCGACATATCATCCGTTACGTTTTTTGGACATATCATCCATTACGTTTTTCGACATATCATCCGTTACGTTTTTTCACATATCATCCGTTACGTTTTTCGACATATCATCCGTTACGTTTTTCGACATATCATCCGTTACGTTTTTCGACATATCATCCGTTACGTTTTTCGACATATCATCCGTTACGTTTTTTTCACAAATCGACCGATACGTTTTGATCATGAACCGACAAACATACAATCAAAAAATTTCTTCGACTCGCTTCCAAACAATACTTAAGCAGTTAAGTTTAATTTGCTCTCAAAACCTTGAATTTCAAAAAACTATGAGCAAGTGCAACATCAAAATGAATGTCATGTTAAATTTAACAAAATCTAAAGAAGTTTGCAATGATTTTGTTGGTGGCTTTTTCACACTGATTGTGCAATTTCTATTTCTGAGACATTAAAAACTTACTTTTATTCTGAAAGCTTGGGCTTTGAACTTGCCATACATCGTAGTATACAGGCCCTCTTGTGCGACTCCAGGATCCTTTGAGTGTAAAAGACAATGACAAAAAAGACATTGAAAGCAAAAACCTGACTTGATCATAACATTATACATAACAACACAAGAAAGAATACAGTAGTCTAAGAAAGTGACAATCTAATGATACAAAATATTTCTAATGACGAAGCTTTCCGATGCAGATTTAGCTGCTAAACATTACAAGCGTGTCTAAAACAGGACGTAATACCTTTTGGAGATGTGCATGTGCCTGATCAGTAGAATTCCGCAGTATTTTGTAAACGAGGTGCTTCAGCATGCTAAGTACTTGATTTAAGCATTGTTTGAATCGCAAAAGGTATGCACCTGAATCTTTAAAATGTGCCTGGAAAATACAAGTTGAGTGCAAGAAATCACGATGAAGGCAAGCAAGGAAATGCAAGTAAACATTGTGTTTGCTACTACCTAGCGTCCGAAGGTATGCTTTAGAAGCTATGATTAACGAGCAATGTCCCGGTCCTTCCTCTCAATGTGACCACACCTCATGATTCCTGCGCCTGGAATTGCAGAGAGCTGGAGACTCCCATCACTTAAGTTGGTCATGTCAATCCCTTGGATCTGTAGTCCAAGACTCTTACCATTGAGCCATCTTTGGACTATATAGATCTGAAAAGGTCCGTAAAAGGAGCTACTCTATCTTTAAGTTTAAAGAATGGTCTAGCATTTGAAAACTAGTACTGGCAGCACAGCTACATTGTAATCGAAAATACTTATTTTTGAATTGTGCTAACGTATATGGTGCCCTTTTATGAAAAGTAAATTTTCTAGCTAGAAGGCAACTTTATAATAAAAACAGTTTTATCTGCCTTGTTATTTTTGTTACTTGCTACACTTTGCCATGAATGAACATGTGAAATTATTCTGACAAAAATGATGTTCCTAAATGTTGCTGTTGGCAACAATACAACGTGGCCAAACTGCTTCAAATGAGAACTTGGGCCATTTGTGAACACACAGACAATATTTTAGGCCGAAATGAAATGCATAATATGGCTGGAATTATTTATCGCTATTCATATATATTAATGAAGCAATAGATAGTAAACTTAAAGTCTAGACATTTTCTGTATTCACCTGATAAAGATTTATGCTCGAAACGTCGTACCAAATATTCATTTCTTGTACAAAGTCGTTATTTCATTGCATCAAATCTTGTTCATTTTCGACGTACAACACGCACAACTTCATTGATTATCAATTTTCTGTATTTGCCAAAAACCCAAAGCCCTTGCTTCTACCATCAAGATAAACTTTTGGCTCTTGTCACATACAAATTCTCATTTTCTTACGACATACGTTCACTTAGGATAAGGAGATTCGTCAGCTCTCTGCAATTCCAGGCGTAGGAACACGAGGTCACCGCGTAAGGGAGGACTAGGACACTGCTCGATAATCATAGCTTAAAAATTCCTTAAAACCAATTTCGGAGGCTAGGTAGCAGCAAATACCAATAAAACTTTCATCACAAGGTGTTCTGTAACCATTGAAACATCCATGTAATCTCTAAACCTATTTCGTCTGAAACAAAAGGGCGTCTCCAAGCATCTGATTTGCCACTTCACTTTTACTGTTCCCCCGTTTGACTACTTCATACATTTAATCTGATTTGATTAGCTCCTCTTTTAACCATAAATTCATCCTTTTTGCGATCGAAGTCTTTTTCCTGATCCAATTTGTCAGTTTTTTGGTATAGTGATTTTACTCTCTTCGGATTGCCTTTACTGAAGGGCAGCAAACACTAGTCAAAAAAAGTCTGAAAAGAGGCTTATCTCTTCGGAAAGGGAGATTATGAGTCATGGTTTCTGATTGGTCGGTTTACAGAATTTACGAAACAACCTTAATCAAAAACGTTTCATCCTGTCTGAAGTCGAAGCACTGTCACATAACTTACTACGCCAGTCATTTACTTTCTCAAGGTGAATAAGGAGTCAATACGCAATTTTACAACAATAGATACAATTGGATGTCTACAGGAACGACATAAAATATTAAGTCTAAGTCATTGCTGTTTACTTCATCATAGTCAATTGACTATGATTTCATCTACTATAGACAAACTAAAAGACAAATCTGTCTAAACGGAATGTAAAACAATAACAACAAAAACAAGAACAGAAATTTGCCTAAAAGCACAACTTTCGTGCAGTTTACTCACATTTCTCTCCATGTACGAGATACATTCGTCTATTCTTGTTAATAGTGGTACAAATGCTTCACCAGTCATAGAAATGGTCCCAGTCATTTTCTGTCCGAAAAACAAAGTCAGAGGCAGATCAGCAAACACAAAATCCGAATAGGAAAAGACATATTTAAAAAATGTCAGGGAACCTGGTTGTATCCTTCTACAGACTTGGGTGTAGTGAAAGAAAACTTGCAAAAAAATAAGAATGTTTTTCTGTTAGGTAGATTTTTACAAACTTGACTGCAAAGTAATTGTTTTGAAGTAAATTGAAAAATTTGTGATGATAAGATAAACAATGAAATAAATACAAAGATAAAACAAAGTAGGTAGCAACATACCTCAACAAAACTAACTATGATTTATGCAACTAATAATATCGATTGTACGCATCTCCTAAATCAATACTGTTATGATTCTTTGCATTCAATTTAACTTTATAGATTTAGCACAGAAGCAAAGATATTTAACATTGAAGCCTGCAGACTTCAGGGAAAAGGGGAATGCTTGTTTTTGTAAACTTTCAGTAAAGATATATTTTACAATATTTAATGTACCTTTGCAATCTTTTTGTCAGATTGAAACAGAGCTTTTCTCTAAAATAAACATAAATGAGTAAGAAAAATTTAACATCATACGTGTTTGACTACTTCAAGTGTACTGAAAAACATCAGACGTTCGGAAATTCCTTCCACTTGGCTGGTAAGTGCTGCCTGAAATACAAAAAACAAGAGGAAACAATGAATTTCCAAAAATAACTATTTTGATCATTGTTTAAGGTCTTTCTTTGCTATCTTGACTAGATGGGTTCTGAAAAGTAAGATCTACAGACTAATGTATTTATGAGAACAGCACTATTCCAATTTTACCTATATTTAGGGAAATTTCCTGAACAAAAAATGACTTAATCAACCAGTGACATCAGAAACCTATCAGACTGTCTATCACATATGCCCCAGCTAGTTTCTGCTATTTAACTGACGAATAGAATTTCTTTGCTAGAAACAACTAGCTTACACATTGGAAAATGCTCTTTGTTATATGAGATGGGTAGATGTCAAAACTTATGGTCTAAAAATTCATTGTCAGGCTCAGCTAATTTTGAATGATACCTAAAGTACCCTTATTCCCTCACCCTTTATAGGTTCCTTAGTGTATATGTTTTGAGCAAATGTATTTGCATTCTGTTGCTTACCCCTCCTGAGCCTTGCCCCTAGGCTCTCTATTCTGAAAATTCTGGAAACTTAAAATTGATTATGAGACTACAATAAAATTCAAAATACTGACTTTAATTTCCATTACCTGTTCCTGGATAGACTGCTCACATGCATCATGCAAAGCTCTGGTTTGAGTCAACACAAATGCATACTTCTTTTGAAGATCTTCTAGACCATCAAGAAGAGCTCTTATCTGATCCAGCACTAAATCACATTTTTTACAATATTGATTGAGCTCATTTTGGTGCTCCCTGAAAATTGAGAAAATACCTAAATGAAGTAAGAGTTTAGTAACAATTAAAAGTTAATCAAAGAATTTAGATATTACATTTGAAAAAATTTTCAGCCAATGATGTGTTTAGCCAATGAACTAATTTAACAAAGAAAACTGACAGCTACAAATTGAAAAACAAATTCTGTCAAGGTTAGACCACCTTTCCATATAAAATGTTTAGTTGAATGTGCTTTAATATTTATTTGCAAAACATTTATAGTTAAAAGATAACAAATCAAGATAATTGTAAAGATCCAAATTTCAAGCATCTTATAAACCTGTATGTGTACTCTTGGTCCTCCTCCATTTGTGCTTGGACTTGAGTGAACCATGAAAAGAACTACAAATACAAAGTTGAATCCAAAAATTGTAAAAGAAAACTAAAGTAACAGGCTTTTTTAAATGGTCCTTGTTGCTTTTAACTGGATGTTGATTGTTGCTGCATTATATTTTGATGCACCTGCTTAGTTTTCAAAGTAGAAAATAAATTGAGAGAGGATTCCATATACAATTTAACTGTACTGAAGTAGTTACTGGCAGAAAAAAAATATGAAAATAATCTAGTATATATAATTGAAAGCATTATAAATAGAAGAGTTACATTATGAAGTGAATGTATTTGTAGCTATAGTAACAATAAGCATGGGTGCTATTGGAAACAAACAAAAGGTCAAATTTCAATGACCCACAAAATCTATAGCCTGACCTGTTGTGCATTTTGTACTTTTTTCCCTCCCCATTCAAGTCCTGAGATTTCCTTTCCCTCTTTTGTGACTTCCTTTGGTTCCACTTTCTGTTGAAATGCAGCATCTTTAAACTGAAATTAAAGTTAGAATCAGATGCCACCAACTGATGATGTCAACTGCTAGAGCTTTTGAACTTCAGGAGCTTCCAAATCCATTTGAGCTCAACAACTTCAATCTGATGTTGATGTGAGTGTTATTTTTATATAAATCTGTTCTAAGCAGAATTCGCTTTACTAACACATTTGCAAGATAATTTGTAGTTGGGATTTACAATTTGCAAAAATGCAGCTGCTACCCTTCAATGTGCTGTCACAAAAACAATAAAGGGCAGCAGTTTCAGCAAGGAGCCAATGAGCAATTTTTCTGGAGCATTATCGTTGCCCCAATACTTTTAGTTCAACAGGAGATGTATTACAGTATAGAGGAATCCCCGGGAGGGAGACAACATTGTTTTAGCAGCAATACAAACAGGGATTTCCATTGGCTGCATGTCATAACATAGAGCAAAGGATAATAGAACTATAGGAAAAATATTCTTAGGGAAACATCTTGTGACTTTACATGCAATAGGTCGTTTAGGCTGCTGGCTTTAATGTTGCCAAGACCAGTATTACTATACTGAAATGCATTCTCCTGGGGCACTGTAATGCAAATGCTTACAATATACATTATTACTTTAAGAGTAGAATCAAGATTACTTTCTTGCATAGAAAAAGTAGATGAAATGCCAAGCATGAAAAGCGATTGAAAATTTAGGAGGTCCTTTGATGACAGGGGGGCGGATGGGCCAAGTACCACTTTCTTGCAAGACAAAAGAGCTTTTAGCAAATTATTATTATTTGGACAGGTCTTTAATTTGCAAGTACCCCACCCCCTCCCAAGCAGTCAGCACTTTCCAAGTAGCTTCGGAGCCCCTAGCGAATATCACCCAGAACTTAATGCATCATATGATGCAAAAAGAAAATTGCAATGAAAACTTTTACTCTAGCTGCATTTATTTTCATCAATGTGTAGAGAACAGTAGGTTATTTCGAGATATCAGTCCAACCTTTTCAGGCAATGGCCTCTTGTTAAACGTACTCAGTTCTACGATACTAGCCCTCTGCTTCTCAGTTAGCGGTGCCAAAGGACAGCCCTTTGCATCCCATTGTGAAAGTGACTTTAGATTCTCCTTTGAAATCGTCTGATACATACTGAATTCTTTCCTTCACCTAAAAGTTTTACAAAATCGATGTTTTCGTGGCAGCCATCAGCGGAACCTCGATAACAGAACGCGGCTAAGTAAATAGGACAGCTAACAGACTACAACAACAACGACACTATAACAAACAAGACACTCGTGTCGACTTCTCGTCTCTTTCAATTAATTTCGACGTAAAAAATGACAACCAAAGGACCGTATGTCGAATCTTGGGAAGATTTCGCCAAAAGAGCCGAGCTTCTGTACCTAAACAATCCAGATAAGGTAATTATGGCTTTATTCTAGTTATCAACACTCTAATTTTTTGTTATCAGCATTGTTTGTTGCCAGCACCCCAACTTTATATCTAAGAGTAGGGTCACGTCGCCCTGATTGAGTATTAACTAGGAGAAGTGACATCTACATCGATTTATTTATTGCGAAAAAATTGAGAGACTTGGAATAAGCTGCGACCAAAATACGCAATTAATCAAAACATTTTGCATCCAGTGACTCAACTCAACTGACGATCGAATTATTGATTGGTTGATTGATTTTGATTTTTAAGAGAATTGAATTGCATAAAAAATAAGATAATTGCTAGTTAAATCAAATGTTTACTTTTAAGATGTTTACCTTCTTAAGAAGCATCTTCCAAAATGAAATTAGTCTAATTTGTATTCCCCAGTTCTTGAAAATATAATGTAGCCATGTATCTGCTGCGATTAAGTTAAACTTTTAACTTTTTGGTACTGATTTCTTTTCTATTCACTGTGCTGGCTAGACTGCAGATTTTTGGTGTGCAAACGGAATGCCTTGCCTGAGCAATAGTTTTTTCTCAAATCCTGTCTCCGCATATTATCAAATTTAGATTGCAGCAAGGATTTTATGTGAATCCCATGCAGTTTCACAATGAGGCTCGGAAATACTATTAAAGAATAAAATTCTGCAGCTTTTATACCAATATTTCGAAACAATGTTTGTTCCTGTGCAAGCATAAGTGGCAAAAGCATTTTAAAATAAAAACTGAACTGAACTGCTAAAAATAATTCCCCATACAAAAATACTTTGCAGTTGGGTTTGCTGGTGAAAGCCCAGTCTGCATTCTTTGTAGAAAGATATTCTCATGTTGTGGTACCTCAATTAGATAGTCTTTATTAGTCCATATTCACTATTGTAAAAACTGACATTAAATAACCTACAATACATTGTTGTGGGTCTTTTAGAGAGAGTTTCAAAAGTCTTTTCTCCATGGAACCTGGAATGTCAAATCTAAACATTGTTTTCGTGTTTGATACAATACTTTCGCAACTACAAAGCTATATTGTGGCAATTTTGTTTCAAATGGGGGATAACTTCCAGGTGTTTCAAAAGCTGGATTTAAACAGCATTGATTCAAAAGCCTTACTTGATTTTCTTCTCTACAGTAGCCCAACAGGAGGCATCCATAGCATATATTGAAGCGACTAACAGACTAACTGAAGTAGAAACTTGAGGAAAGCTTTATGTATCAGGGCATCAGCATCAGTAACCCAGTGTTTACTTTCTCTCATCGACTCCTCTACTTTAACCTATCTTGTTATCTAATGCCATCATTAATATACCTGTAATCTACCCTAAGTCCATGATTCGCCTGCCCTAAGCTTGCACATGCAAAGCACCTGACAATGGAGATAGTGTCTTTTTTCACAAAGTGTTTTTTTTACATGGTTATTGTTAATGTATTGGCTAAGTGCCGTTCATAGCCAGAACCAGATGTTGTCATGTCTATTTCTACTGTGGACAGCACAGAATATTGTCTTTTGTTAAAAAGAAAAACACTTTCAGATGTTCCTTTGCGCTTTTGCATATGTGCAAGTTTTTTGCAATAACTCAACCATTTAGTACAACAGTTAAACATTGAAATGCAAAAAAGTTGCTTTTTGACAATAAAACTTTTTGATGTGGTGGTTAGCTTAGTAAGTCCAGATGATTTGGAATGGAGTAGCAATTATTTGGCTAGATTGCCCAAGAATGGCTAATCAAGATATCAATAATCACAGGAACACAATATTTGTTATTGTTTTTGGTATAAAATGAATAACATCTCTTGGCAAACTGTATTATTTTAGAATGAAACTGACATTGTTTTGTTTTGTTTTAGATTAGATTTGTTGTCAAGTATAGAAACTGTGATGGAAATCTTGTATTGAAGATAACAGATGACAAAGTTGTGGGTGTCATTTTCAAGTCACATGTTACTTTTCATGTTGTTGTTGTTTAAAATTTTCCTATTCACTTAAATGTTTACTGCAGAGAGACAATCCCCCCCCCCCTGCATTTTCTTACTGATTGTAAATTTTTTTTCTATTCAGTGAACCCTTCCACTTTAAATTTGAAGGTGTAGCCCTTGCACACTGTTTTAAAACAATGACATTATTGATTTTTACAGTGATTGGATGACAAATTGTTTAATGGCTTCGTCAAATTTGATCTTCTTTGAGAATGAGACTACATGTTTACTTTCAAATATATTTCTCTTTTAGTGCTTGAAATACAGAACAGAGCACGCACAGGATGTAAAGAAACTAGAAAAGTTGAACAGTGTTTTGATGAGGCATATTTGTACAAAATAAACCTGGGGATTTTAGCAATCTAAATTGAGTTGTTAGAACTGTATTTGCTCCATAAATTGTATATTATAACTTTTGCAAAACTATATAGATGCTTGATCTGTTGTCCTTTTTTATAAGCACTTATATGATTGAGTAGAATAGACAGTTGGTTCATGTATTTATTGGTGGCTGATATCAAATGCGCTTCTGGAATAATCCGGCCAACCTCATATATTTTGACAAAATTCCACCCTGATTCCAGCCAACCCTTTTTTTACTATGGTAAGTTTCCAACCCTGCCCTTCTAGTAGATGCTTTTCAGAAAAACCATTCTGTACTGCCTGAAATAACTGTTTAGGAAAACAGCACTTCCTACTGTATTCAGTTTTGACAAAAGAACACCTACCTAAACATTAATTGACTTCAATCTTTTCATATAAGAACAATTTTATAACCACCAGCCTCCAAATGGTTTAAAATGAACAAGTAAAGAACAAGATGAGTTTAGTAATTCTGGTAAGTCCTGAGACTCATTCAAAAATCCAATCTCAAAAAAGAAGTTGCATTGTCCAGATTTTCAACATTTTTAATAAATAAAGGATGGCCCACTCATTTTGTTGGCGTATGGGCGAGAACACACCCCTTGAGAACAAATAGTTGGTTATTGCAATTTTTTGGATATTTGTTTTAAAACTGTTTTGAAAAAAAATGTTGGGACAACTAAGAACAGCTGGTCTAAATTTAAACTTCTTGGTTCCTTTAAAGTGTGTGCATGGCTGCAAGAAAACATCCACACCACCCCTTTTGTTGAAAAAATCCACCAACCCCATTTCTCACACTACAGAAATTTGCTCCTTCCCCTAACTGCTGACTTGCCTTATGTGGTTATGCAGCAAAATTTACTCAGGACCTCATCTTGCACTTACTGATAACTTGCAATCTATCCTATACCCAAAATATCAAAAAATATTGTATGTTTAGATTGCTGAAATTTTAAATCAACTTTAATGTCAAAAGAACCATTTGTGTCATCAAAATTTCAAAGAGAAACAACAAGTAAAAAATTGCAACTTTTGTTTACTTTAGTTCATTCAGTGCATTTGTGTGAAAACTATGTAATACATGTCACAACTTTTCTTTAATCAACAAAAAAGAGTTTTTCTTTCCAAAATCAACGCAAGTTCATGGTTTCAATGTTCATTCACCCAGAGTTTCTTTGTCAAACAAGTATTCACCCAGCCCTGTTCCAACACGTTTGAGGTTGGTGACATGACCTGCAATTTCCTTGATTGACTCAACTTGGTGTGTCAGGAACTTTCCTTCAATGAAATCTGTCATCTGTGGATCGTTGTGGGTGCTAGCCCTTGTATGCAGATCAAGTAAAGATTGGTTCACTTTCTTCTCGAGTGCCAATGCTTCCTCCATTGCCTGGAGCCCTGATCCCCATTCGTCCTTGGAAGGAGTCTTCACATCAGACAACTTTATACGTCCACCTCTTTGGTTCTGGAACTTCATTAGCTACAAAAAGGAAACAATTCATTACTCTGGAAACCATTACAAGTACTTGGTCAGAACCAACTAACACAGGTACAAGTTGGATCGGTGTAGCAATGAACTGATGATTCTGACCTAAGATATTAATGGGGATAACTCGACATCGAAAAAAAAATTTACTTATAATTTAAAAAGCAAAAATTAGAGGCCAATTTTAGAGGAAACTTACGATTTCCGCATGCTCGCGTTCCTCGTCAGATGAATGTTTGAAAAACTTTGCAAAGTTTGGGAGAGCAACATCATCTCTGTCGAAGTACTGGGCCTAAAAAGAAAAAGAATT